TGGAATGTAGTTTATAACCTTGTTTGACCTGAACCCATGACAAATTGACAAAGAAGAATTGAAGTTTCTCCTGAAATCCTTTTCAGCTTTTTCCTGCCATAAGATCATCCCCTCCAAGAGGTGAGGGACGGTTCATGAGGTGGGGGTCAGGATTGTCTCTGTGGTCCAGTAGAGATAAGATCAGACTTTGGGTGGGTCTTTATCTTGCTGTGACTATATAACGATGTGATCTGTGTTGTTCAGGGCTCTTCTCCTGACTGCGCTCAGTGAGACGGATCTTTGAACGCTTTAGCCTTCGAATAAAGAAACTTAAAGACAAAGATTCATCTTTGTTACGGCCAGTGGCCTTTTCTGTGTTTATTTGGTTTTTTTGCAGTGGCTAATCAGACTGACTTCACCTGGAAGTGGGTGCTGCCCTGCTTGTCCTGTGCCACACCCTGAGGCCTACCATGATTGGATCATCAATTGGCGGCTCCACCAATCACTGTTGAGGCCTCCCTCTAAGAACCAAGGACATCCGGGGAGAAGGTGCAGCTGATTCTTTGTTCAGACAGCTGGCCACTTTGTTGGGTGTTTGTTTACTGCTGTAAACTTGCTTTGTTAGCTTTTGCTAGCTCTGATAGCTTGAGTAACTCGTCTTGTCCCTGTGGGGGATCTTTGTATCTCTGTTAGAGATTTGTAGTTTTTTTGTTTTTTTGTTTTTGGAACCTGTACTGAAAGTCCATTTTTGTTTGGTTAAGATTTTTGGTTTACAACTCTGATTGTTTTGTGGATTTTGTTTTATTTAGTACATTTTGTTGTAAGTCCCTATATTTTGATTATTGTTAATTTTTACCTTTTTATTTTTTGTCAAAACCCAAACAATAAACCCCTAAATTGTTAAACCTTAACATCTAGTTTCTTTAATGTTACTTCCCTTTCCCCTGGCCGAGCCGGGTCGTAACAATCTTTTTCTTATTCTTATTATTGAAACAGCTTCTCATTCTTTGATAATGACATTTCCATAACAGCATGCTATAAAAAGTGTAATTCCAAAAATAAATAAAACCTATAAAATTGATTTTAAAATGTGTAGAAAACAGTTTGTTGTTCTACCTGTTCTCACCAGAGAGTGTTTCCCATACTCCAAATACTTTTTCAGCCAATCAGGACACGTCTGGGTGATGTAGTACTTTGTTTCGGTCACCTTCATTTTGTCATTGTCCCATCTGTTTTTGGTGATGAAAGCCTGATGTACTGGAGCAGACCATCTCTCTGCTTTCAGGTCAAATGCTATGAAGTCCTCTCCATCATAACCAAAGCTTTCCCAACCTTGAACTTCTTTATATTCATCATCAAACTCACAGCCATACAGGTTCTGGAAGATGTGAACACCTGAGAAACAGAAACCATCCTAAGATTTTCAGTGACTGTGTGAATGTAGCTTCATAAGAGAAAGAGCAGGAGGAGAGAGGGTACAAGCAAGTTTGTTTATCTCACAAGTGTAAAAGCTATATTTACAGCAAACGTTACAGACATGGAAAAAAACCTATCTAAATTGTAAAAACTGTAAATACATCTTGTAAACAAATGTACCTTATGCATTTTCTTTGAATGCATTTTCTTATGTTTAACAAGAGAATACAAATGACTAAGACACATTTTAAGTTTTAGTTTAAATAACCATGGTATGTTGCAGTCTAGGGGTTTTAATCTCACTCTTGATAAAGTAAAATTACTGAAACCTTGTGAGACATGAAGCCTGACAGCATAACAGCAGTGAAATAACCTGACAAACCTCCAGTTTGGTTGAATCGTTTCTTTGCGACTTCAATGCTGTTTATGAAAGATTTCTGGGTTCCAAATAGTCCTTGAGTTTGAAACTCCCAGTAATGTGGATCATCCTCTGTGACTTTAATCATCCAGGCCTGTTTGGGGATTGCTTCCATGGTGTTGCTGTCATAGTACATGACCTCGTTTCCATCAACCAGACCAACAGCCACAAACTCTGGAAAGCTTTTGATTCCCGATGACGCAGTGTAAATATACTGCAGAGAATGATGCTCTGTAAAATAAAATAATATTGTGATTTAAATTTTCAGATTTGCACACAAATACAAACAAAACCAGTGGTGGATCTACGCAGGGAAAGGGAGGAACAGTAGATATTGTCAGTATTTGGTAGCATTATCTTTAAACTGTTTGACTTGTACTGTTTGGGTTTCCTTCTCACCCTAATTAGATCTGGCCCATTCTGCCTGCAGAGCAGGTGTAACTCAGTCAGGTTTATAGGCTGCCTCACTTGGACACGTCTTTCAGATCTGCCCGCAAATTTTCTCTAGGATTAATATCAGGGCTTTTATTTAGGATCAAAACTGGCAGAATTAAAAATAAAAACATAAATGGCCCAGTAAATAAATCAATACACTTACAATAGGAGAGTTTCACTTCATGTTTTATCATTTAATTGAGCTTTATTTTTTTTCCAGCTTATTGTCAACAAATTATATATTTCAGCACAAAATTGCATGTTTTTTTTACTTATATAGATACAATTTTGTCTCTTTAACTTCTTCCTTTCATTTTAAACTGTTTTTTTTATTTCCATGTGTTGTCTTTATGATATTCTGTCTCCTATTTTTACTTTACTTTATGCCTTTCTGTCTCATGAACTTCTTAAAGATCTTTCAGACCAAACCAGAGATACAGAGGTTGGTGTTGCTCACCCAGAGTTTGTAGTAAATAAATTACAAGAATTTAATAAAATCATTTTCACACTTCCAGCGAAAATATTGTCCAGGAAACATAGCAACTTGAAAGAAGTTATCTCAACTTCCTGTTTTAAGCAGCCAATCAGATTCAGCATTTCTACAGAAGCTGCACTAATCCTGCCTGCTGAGTATAATAGGTGAAGTCGACAGTTTCAATTAATATACAATATGTTTCATCACAGGAACTATGAAATATTTAATTAAATTATAAAATATCTGGATTTTAAAATGAAATCAATACATTAAATTTACTAACATTAATGTAGATACCCTGTTCAGGCTGCACTGCTACTGCACTATTTTGATTAAACTTAAATCATATCGTCATTCATGAGAAATAAAGCTTTTCTTCCGTTTTCTTTTTAAACTCAGAGTAACGCAGCACTCTTTGACCTTTGACATTGGAGCTGCTTTCATTTTGTCATCAGCATTTCAGATGACATGCAGAAGCTAATCACATCTTTTAACTGGGGCTGAATAATAGTAAATGATAAAAGCAAATAAAATATTCAACACTGAGCAAATATGTATGGTGAATTTGTGTCTTTTTTTAATAAATCCATGCCCTGTTTGTGTATTTTTAAGTGGATTTTGTGAGATTATGGTGACGTGTTTCAATCAGTTTTTCTACAGACTAAAGCATTTCAGCAAAAAATCTTTTGACTTTTTTCTTCTATAAAACTGGGGTATAAATGGGGGTTAATAAAATATTATTCTCTTGTTTTGGGAAAGGAAATATGCCTGTCACGACGTCAGACATATTCTAGATGTTCTTGGTTTTAGAAATAGGATTATAAATTATATTTTAGAACTAATATTATGTAAAAGAAAGAAATCTGTAAATGGCACCTGCTCAGTCAGTTCCAGTTTTGTTCCAGTTTTGATAACTATGATTTCCATTTTCTAAAAGACTTGAATATAAGGATCATGTCTGAATGATCCTCATTTCTATCATAGCAAACTGCTGGTGGCAGCCAAGAAAAAAATACCAGTTTTTATATGCAGTCAGAGTCAGTAGTGAAATACCACTGTGCAAAATTTTATGGGTAAGATTTCATATTGGATACCTGCTAAATTAAGCATAGAAATAAAAAGTGTGCTTAAAAAATAGAAATCAAATATTAGTCTGAACACATATTGCTTCCAAAACAGCCTTGGTTCTTCGACAGAACGACTGAAGTTTTACTTAGTAAATAACTTGGACATTTTCAGGTGTTATTCAGGAATTATTTGTTAGAATCTTGGCTTACTGAACCTTTAACCTTTGGTTCAAGGTTTACTTGAAAGCGCCACGAGTTTATCTCTCTGGATCATAAATGTAGAATCGCAGCAGAACAGAACCGGTGAGAATAAATATTTCTACTGAAACTCTGCTACACTGTAAGCTGGTTAACTCATTAGAGCCCATTACACATAATGTACACAGTGCAGCAGAGCAATATGCTTCTATTTTGGAAAAAACTTCACAGATGCATTCACTAATCCTAAATTAAAAAAAAATAAATAAATAAAAAAAAAAAAAAAAAAAA